ACCTGGCAATAGTAAGTTTCTGATTGTTACCGTGTATACTGTATAGTCCCCGAATGGCATTGCTACCAGTAATGCGTCAAGGAGATCGCCTTAATGGATTCCTCGAAGTCTCGACTTGAGAACTGCGCAGTTACATCGAACTACGATCGACCATACATTTTACTTAAACTTCCATGACACGGTTTTAATTCGACCTTGTGCTTAATAATACTAAAGTTCTTTATAGATTTCAAATATAAACAGCGTCGTATACAGTATCTCATGAGTTTACATAATATAATTACGGTTATTCACATGTTTTTAAAGATATCTGTTTATTACCAAATAACAAATAATAAAACTTCCAAGCTTAGTTCAAAGTTACAAATTAACAACTATAACAGAAGAAGTAATAATTTTGACATAACATGTATTCCTTTACTGGTTTTTCTTACTTAACAATGTGATAAATAAATATCCATTGAGCACAAGACTTAATTAAGTAAATAAAAACAATAGAATAATATGTGGACATAAGGCGTTTAAATAAATTTACACTGAATTGCAATTGCGGTTCGTAAACAGCAAACGCTGGTATCTTGCACCTCCCACGCCAATCTACCGGAGGCTAGTCACATTCCTGACATACCTACCACAGGTTGTCGGCCGACACCGCGGCCGGTTCCGAACGTTAGCAGCACAGCGATGACGTAGCGACTCGTCTCCGGCCGTTCGTCGGCCCGATACCTTACTCACATACAGACTTTCCACACCTCCCTTTGCTCTACGATAGTCCGCTCGTCAAGGGGAAATATGACCTTGTCGCAGAGGTCTACATACCCTGGACGCTTTTACTCCGCAGTTTAAATTCAAACTTGTTATAATATCACCGATCGTCGTCGCTTGGGTACAGAAATCGCGTGCGCTTTCGCCGCGTGCCGCCTTTCTACGCCGAATTGTCATATGGTCCTAATGTATTTATCGTTTGTGTCATGAAAGGGAAACAACTTTGTCTTTTTGTCACTGGCAGATAATCAAATCGATGATATTTATTTATAATGGTAAAGGAAAAATTGATTTTGTAAATCTTATTTATTTATGTGAAGTGTGGCTTAAGAAGAACAATCTTGACAAAGATGAATACATTTGTCAGATGTTCTGTCGTTTTAGTACGGAACTAAGAATGTCTGTAATGCTAATAGGCGGATGTGGCCTGATTTTCAATCGGAGCGGACTCGTACCTACATCCATTCATCTAAGCGTCCGGAGAGTTGAGTTATCCGGATGTAGATAATTTTAACATATTTATGTACGCCACGAGAATGTTATTGGTTTAACTATTCTGTCACGCATCTTAGAAGATGCTTTCTACTATCTCCCTATGTCCAATGTATAGGAAGATAAAGGCATCAACCGACAAGAAACTAGTACACAAATCCTTCCATATTATGTCACCCAAATAAAAGCACTTGGTTAAAACGAGAATTATTATCTTGAAGGTTCTACCATACAGTTTAAAATATCTCGTCGATTTTACCTATTTAAATAAAACTGTTTAAGAAACTTGTGGCTAAGTAACTTAAAGAAAACGAATGAAAAAAGCAGTATATTACCAGTATTGCGTACTGGTTGATGAAATCTTGTCCAAAATCCTCTTCTATCACGAGGCCCAAATGTGTAAAATCACGTGTGCTTGTCAACTGATTTGTTTGACACTAATTTGAGTAACTATCAATTGTTCCAAAGTCCTTAAAGGCCACACACATTGCACTTCTCATAAAGTTAATACGAAAATATTAATAATTTACTCACTTTATCACGCCCCGCCAGTCCAACGCAATTTCGTGTATTTATTCACTTGAATATTTATTCAAACATCACAAGTACATTATATCGACCCTTGACCGTTAACCTCAAACTAATTTATAATTACAATGCTTGTAACTGTAGATTGTAAACATTTAACATTATTTATAACTTTCATTTTTCATGAAATAAAATCAACCTGCCTTTTGCACCTCGTCAAACAAATACCAGAATTCGCAAAACTGTTTTCGCACACAACAGTACACATTTCACAATAAACTACGCAGTTGCATGCTCGAGAGGCACATGTGTGTGTGTGACGATAACACAATGAATGCGCGCGCGCATACGTACTTGATAATAGGCCTGATAGCCTACCAATATTGACGCTACGGTTTGTCCGTGTCATTTTTTCCACTTTACGTGTTCTTCTCATGTTTCAAATTGAGATGCGATATAAAATTCAATAAGTTTTGATTATAATCCTGTTATCAGTTATAATGTGAGAAACAGAAGTTCAGTACGTTTGTAGCAAGCTATATTAGTTAACCGGCTAATATTTTCACCATAATAAATCTTCGTGTGCGCATATTACGACATAGAAAAAAAAAATATGAAGAAAAATTTGTCATACCTATTTCTGCCGCATAGCAACACAGCTGCATTTTGTTTTAAAATTTTCAAGGATATGAAATGTTTGAAGTCACTGTAATGACCATTTGTGGTTTTATAGCCCAGTAGGATAGAAAATTATAGGTATAAGGACGACTGGATATCTGGGATAGAATTTTTTTTTCAACAACGCTGTCACTACCTTTTTAAAACTTGATCATTAACTTCTGTACTAGGAGACGTTTATAGATAACTTAATTAAACTCATGTTCTATTCCGATAACAATTGCTTCAGGTTTTTTTTAAAGGGTGAAAAATCATCTTAAATGTGTCGTGAGATTGACAGATAGATTATAGAGACAAAAGTTTAAAAAAATCTGGTGTTTTTAACTTCTCAATGGTATTAGACAGTAAGCGAAAATGTACACAAGATTGTGCTAAACCGAAAACTATTTTTAATTGGCAGCTGTTCAGTTGTACTGTTCCGTCCAAACAGTAATTAAACTACGGACGAGAATTAGCTCACTGGGTCTTTGTAGGGCTGTTGTTATAGGTTACCTAGATATGTATCAGGTTTGTTTCTTTGAATAAATGTAATGTTACATAATGCTTCATTTATTGTTATTTTAAAATTAGTAATGAAACCAAGATACAAGATTTTAAATCTCTTAAATGTTATTTTGTATTATTTTAAATATTTTTCTAGTCTATAAGGCCATTTGCGTCATCTGATATCACCTTCCTGAAATTCAACTTGACTTAATGCTTATCGTTCAACAACTTCTCCTAAATGTCAATGATATAAATCGTTGCGAAAGGATAACGCAAACAGGTTACATGAATTTATTAAATAAATATTAAGTATTATCCAAAACTGATGACAATGTTTTTTCAATATTAGACAGCTGTTACGTAAATAAAAAAAATACTCTTAAAACGAGGTCCAATTTAAATAGATACCTGTGTACGTAATGAGAACTTGTGAGACGTTCAACAAACTTTTCGCTCTGCAAAAGTACCCAGCGAGCCTCGAACGTCGGTGTTTTATTATGAAATGTCACGTCGTACCAGACGGTACATAAATAAGACTAAATTAACTTGTCTGCGACCTCTGGATTGAACGCGATAAGGTTCACATTCACACCTTGGATTACATGTTAAAACGAATTCGACTCACCCAACAAAAGTAACAATATATAACTAAATGTTGATGAGAATCCTCTCCCATCGTTTTCAGTTGAACTCGGTCGAGGACGCTTTGTTTATGGAGTTTTATTTTATTAGCTGATTTAATTTTACGGGTTGAAGAGATTTTTTACTGCGCGAAGACGTTCGTGATCGAAATTTACGGTCATTAAAACTTGAATCGGTCGTGTAATGTTGTGTGAAGTTGTGGTCTTGGTAAATCCTGGAGAAAGTAACATTTCAATTGTTAAGTAACCAATAATTACCATAAAATTACCGTTTTTTCAACTATTCAAGAAATTTAATTTTGATTGTAAAATCACTAGTTGAGCTAAAGAGATACAGCTACCTAATAAAAAAATAGCTACTAAAGAGAAAACACTAACTGTTGAAATTTTCTGCACTAACCCCAATATTTATTGGTAAAAAAGTAACGAAATTATACTACAACGATTCTCCCTTAGATTTTAGACATGTAAAAGGATCCCGGGAGGACACTACAATGTGAGAACTTTTGCGATACGATACTTAACAACGTGTTCTACCATGACTTTGGTTAAAACAAATTTCTAACAAGGAACACACTGAACTTTACACTTTGAAAATTTTAACGTTTATTTAGTTACACTCACAAAATAATAACACAAGACACTGTTTAAGGGCTCAACATAATCATACTAATGAAGTCTCTATTCAATTCAATTAAGAGCGTTCCAAATTATCCCAGAGCTAATAATATTGAGTCCTAACGTGTTTCCATAAACGCGGAGATGACGTCGTCCATAGACCGTGAAACAAGTCAATCCGGAATGATTCATTCACCTTTAACATACCTATAAAGTATTTTGATCCGGCAGTGTGTGGGCGGCAATCAGGTGAATAAAGCATGTTCACACGGCAATTTGAGCTATTACGATACCAGATTGATTGAGATGCGACGCCCGCGCCGTCTACCGAACTAATAATGACTAACTTTAATACTGGTTTTTATCGAATTATCGCCATCAATCTACGACGGATTGAACACACACATACAATTTATTCTAATCTTAATAACATCGATTAAAATAAATTGAAGAATTACTTCAACGTTCGTTTTTATACCAAGCAACTGCGTACTTATACTATAAAAATATGGACCAAAATAGATTTGTGTATACAAACATTATGTATTTATTAGCTAAAATGTCGAAGTATTTAGGTACTTTTTTCATCTAGCCAGTACGATTAGTATACTTATAATAATAACAATATTTTTTCAAGCAACTATTATTTATATCGTTCATTATTTGTACGAGGTTTCGTATGTTAGCCAAAAATACTCAGTATCATAAAAATCCAAACTATTAACATCAAAACTATGTAAAGAATTAGACGTGTTGTGATTCAGTGTTATGTAATGTGTGTGTTGATTGCAGTGGGCGTGGTTGGCGGCGGCATGCCGGAGGCAGCTGGCGGCGAACGACGCCACGTGCCGTTGTACGGGAGACTGGTTGCTGAAGACCAGCTGGCGTCCATGTCCGCGCCCTCAGACATTCAGGTGAGCGCCCCAGTGCGCGACCCCCGAGCTTTCTGCTGCTACCATACCCCCGCTCAGGTAAATGATGCACGAGGCAGTTTGGAGGACTAACGTCCTGAACACCAACCAATGTTGCTACTATTCAAAAATACAGCTAGGTAACCGTATCATAATTACGTATGTAACCTACTACCCAGTACCCACGCTTCCAAACCCAATTTCATGAGAAGCAATGCACTTACTTGCATATAATTGAAGTTTCTTAAACTCGTGACCTCTGCGCGCCACACCTATTGTTTTATTAAAAGAGCCATTAACCACGCGCGTCTAGACATTACGCGCAAGTAAATAAATTAGTCAGTAAAGTGCCACTAATTACCTACTACAACTAAGTTCTCTTTCACTGAAACACTAGTGATGTATTTAGTTAACGTTGAATACGAACTGGCAACGATCGATAGATACCCCTTGTCTAGACTGGGTTAATTAATAAATGTGTCGGACTAGCGTTTCTCGCGCAAAATATTGAGTTTCCTTCTTATTGTCAGAGTGAGCATGTTTCAATACAAAAGTTTGTTGGATTATCACCGATGTGCACGTCGCGCGCGCCTCGTGACGTTAATAGTCCCGGCTCTAATGTATGGTTATTACAGACAGTGATTGCTTTAAGGATATATTGTAGGTGTGCTTCAGGTGTGAACCAATTGTTCAACATTTTATTGAATAGATGTTTATACAAACCGTCTCGTGTATTAAGACGTCTACGTGCGTCTCATTTAGCTTATTGGATGTTATCATAATTTTGTATTCTAGCATACCTTTTATTTTAGCTGTTGATGCCTTTTGTTTGATTCAAATAGTTTCGGTAAAATGTGGTACTCAACTTTTAGTCCATATTTCACCATAACATATTATATTTCGCTTTCTTTTTCTATTTGTGTGTAGTGTAGTAATATCCGTATCACCTATAACTTGGAGTATCACCTATGTATGCTTTGCTTGAATTGCTTTGTTGTCTACTACGCCATTTAGCCGTCTATTAATGAACACTTCTCGCTTACCCAGGCTATGCAGGCCCGAATACCACATCACTTTCGAGACCCCTCGACAGCTCCGCTAAGAAAACTCAGCGTTGACCTCATCAAAACCTACAAACACATAAACGAGGTAAGCTAATTTTAATTGTTAAATTAACAGGTTAAAGTTTATAACCATTTTCATAACTCTTTGACATGGGCTTTATATTATATATCGAATGATATCACTGTAGGTACTCGATTGAACATCGAATAACAATCGATCATCGCATCGAATAACATCCGATTGTTCGATTAATCCGGAATTAACCGGTGTCATCTGCGGTTATTAATTTACTTACTCCGGGTACCATATATGCAACCGCCATTGTTGATTCTCGCTCGAAGCTATTAAACTGCGAGTACTTTCATAATTATTGTTTACATGTCGTATGCGGAAATTGCTCATCAGCCTTGCATCATGTTTTCGTTTTTAAGCCGTTGTTATTTATAATACAGCGTTCAGTTCATTGCTCGTTGTTACTGTTTTTAAAGCGATCAATTCGCTACAATCGCCGATCAGTACATCCCACATATTGGCGTAGAAGGCGTACGAAAGTACATACATAACTACCACCACGCGTTGTGAGTTCCGACCTTTTTCGACATCGGTGGGCGCACCGTTGCTAGGAGGCGGTCCGGGGTCGCGTGGGAGCAGATTTATTGCATCGTAAATAAAAAAATCTCAATGAACTACGACTGTGCTCTTCAATGAAGCGGTGACCGGGTTAATTCGGGTTTGATATGAATTTCAGAGTTTCGTTATATTGTATTAATTGACAAACTTGAATCGACAGATTTTTTAATTCTTTATAATAAAGTACCTTTCGTATAAAATGAAAACAAAAGCAGTATATACAGATATTAATATCATTCGAGACTGTTTGTTTCACATGATTGATGTTAACAAGAGCAGTAGCGCCGGTGATCATTAAATATGATCGCCTCGCGGCCGCACTGCACACTGCGCAAATTGCTGTAAGAAAACGATTTCCTTGCTACGCAAATGATTTCTTTCGCCATAGAAGTCTTGTTTACGGCGCGTACGAGCTCCACTCTGACTCTAAATGACCTTTACCGTCACGTGTATGTTAAGTTTTCACTGCGGCGTTTGGTCTCTCGGCGCATTAAACGCTGCGTCACAGTTTTCCTTTACACGAGCCACAAATGACGACACGAGAAACGTGGAAAGTTTGACGTAGTGGATATTGTTTTCTAATACAGCTCTAAAAGTGCACTGCTCTTTCTTTTGTGTGGAAACAACGCCCCTCGTGATCCACGTCAACTTTTACAGAGTTATCTCAACCTCGTCATAACACAGTTACAGTTCACTGAAATCGTGATTACAGTGTCATTATTACTGATATTCTTGTAAAATACTGTAGCTCCTTAAAGACAGGAGATATACAAGTAAACGGACCTCACACGCTTATTATTCTTACATCATCAGTCAAGAGGATCTTCCATTATAAAATCATATAATATTCATACCGAACGAAACAACGATATTAAGCTGTATTAGGCATCTATTTACAGCTGTACACAAACAAAGCTCGTATTTACTGAGTAAAAATACATTTAACAAATCAATGTTTACCCCAGGGAGCTACGAAGTACGGACACCTTTATTTTTATCTAACTCAATGACAAAGGAAAGACTACGATAAAATTAGTTCACGTCCGTCAATCTGAAATGCTGTGAATGTCTCATTTTATGGATTCTGTACTTAATTATTTATTTAAAAGTGCGTATTTAAATTTTATTAGTAATATAAATTTAGTTAGCTCCCTATCTGAGTTTTTGTTCTGAAGTTTTATAATCCATTTCCAAACATTCTAGTGCCGCTCTGGAGCGACGGCAATTAATCTTGGTATACGGGAGACACGTGGTGTCTCCCCTCGCTTTCTATTTATTTTCGGACGCGATTATTAATAGAAAATATTCTATTTGCGTTTGTAAGGTGGTCATTGCCCTATTTGGTGGTGTGTTTACATGGCGCCTTGCCAGATTCTGACGCGTCATGTGGGAGTTAAAGTTGCACGGGTATTAGGAGTCTAAGAACATGCATGCGCTCCACTGTGATAAACTAGGCTAGGAAGCGGAAGATAAAACCAAGACGCTTTTAATCCTTTCATTCTCTAAACAAAACTGTATTCAAAACAGAATTGAGATGAAAAGAAAAAAACATTCAACATGTTATCCTCAAGGTTTTGTGTAGGAAGTAGAACTCAGTAAAAATATTGGTTGGCAACAGATCACAGTGCATTTTTCTTTCCGTATTGCAATTTTAATCCGAAACATGTGACTATTTTCTTGATACGTCACACGTATACGCCAGTGAAACAGAGGCTATATGAGTACCTAGGGCTATTAATGTTCGCTGTTGTTCTAAATTTGGCAGTTTGCGTTGTCAATAACGTGTAAACAAAGAAATTCCTCAGTGCTGATGCTCACTGACCAATGTAAGGCCAACGTTACTGTAACCGTTTTTCGGGTCAAGCAACGTCACTTCCCACCATTTTTTCCTTTTCTCGGAACTTGATTTCTATTTCCTCTCGGCCTCAACATTTGTTTAGACTTGATGAACGACCAAAACAAACTGGACGTTTCGTTGTAAATTACAGTCAGTTTGTTTCTTTGACACCGTACAATTTAACCAATAAATTTGTTTACAAAATTAATACTTATTTCCTTAAATTTTATTGAACCCTTTTCCGAGTGTAGGTAATTAAGAAGAAGCCGCATAATTAAATAAATACTTGTAAAGTATGTTTGTGTTCGTCGTTCGGTACATAATCTTGAATAATAATCAGTGTCTGTCTGTCGGTAGTTGTCTATTAATATCACATTGCGGTTTCGCCGGCAAAGTTATTGGTTTCAAATGACCCAATTGCGTCATGTTTTTTGCATTCCGCTGACGGACAATAGATTTGTACATTTGCTTTTAGTGAAACTTGAATTGACCCTAAAAAACATTTGTCAATGTTTTCTGACACAAATTAAGAACTTAGTAATCAATAATGCGTTGCTGTTGTTGTTTTTGTATGACATAAGTTTCTGTAGTTGCAATATTCAATGAAGAATTTTAGAAACTGTGATCAACTTCTTACAATATTTTGGTCCCGCAGTACGTTACCTAACCTCATACAATACCTCATCAATACACTCGCAAATGGAGCATATAACACTGTGTGAAGCAACGCGGCAACGCCTGTCTGCCTGCACTGGATGCAATAGGCGACAATGACTAACGCCTGCGGCCTGTGGGCGAATTTCGCAACGCCCCGACCCGTCGATGCCAATACGAATCGAGTCAAGGAGATAGGCACCGCTTTAAGATCGAAATCACTGTACAGTTAACCAGCGCGGTTTGCCTTCTTTTTTATCCTTATCTAGTCGGTAGTCTAGACTGATCGAAACCGAACTACGATTAGATAGATGTACAGTGATTTCTCTGAATCGATATTTTATCAACAGGATTGCTTCATCTTTGTTATTACCGAAAGATCCGAAGTCCATAGGTCCGTTCTTTAATCCATCAGAATTTTGATGTGCATGCCTGATTTTTTAGAGTTAACCGTGTTGCTAATGACCTAAAATAGTGTATAAAATTGTCGGATTTGGTACATGTGTAACAGTTTCCCATCTGTCCGCACATGGAATTTGTGTAAAAACCCCGCGTCACGAGCCACGCTTTCGCCCCATGAACATGATCGTGTTGATACGACACGAATGGCAGAGCATCAGCTGTTCGAGTTATCTGCTTGCAATTAATTGCGATATCGCCCATTCATAGCGGTTCTTAGTTTCACAAGAAAGTGTTCCATTCTCTTACATTAAATAATAGCTGTTGCTGTTGTAGTTTTTTATTTGATCCTACACCACTTAAAAGATCAAATCATCATGACTCAAAATCTTTGCGTAGGTAATCAATGTTGATTTTTTTATGAATAAGGAAAACGGCGGTTCATATAAGGTTGAAAATACCATATACAAGCCTCTTTCTCTAGACTAATCACGAGTACACGTCGAGCAAACAGTGTAATGCAAACGGGCCGGCTAAAGTGAGTCAAGGTGAGTGCGCGACGTCACGCTTGTACTGTTGCCACCCGGATTATTGTACGGACCGGCGCCGGCAGGCCGAGGTGCGGTATACCTAGTCTTGGAAACTCTCGCACCGTTTCCATCCACAAGACAACAACGCCCTACTACCAAAATGAACTCACTACCATTTAAGCATAGCGCCCAAAACGCTGTGACACCATTACACCAACGACATTGTTCCGACCGCCTAGCGACAGAATCACCATGTATCGTGCCGTACTAAAATAATATGTCATGTATTATTATAATTATATGGCTATCCACCTACGGCGTAGATAACCTGCGATGATGCTAATAGGGACGTCCAGTCACTAACAAAACGAAACGTTAAGTACGATATCATTCGTATTTTTTAATTAACATAATTACTTAAACATTTCCGTGTACTGTATTGGCTCGTGATTGATTTGTTGCAAACAGTAAACAGCATTTACATGAACAACCAACATGAATACTACCATTAAATTATACAGTTTAATGTTTTTGTTTTTAAATCACCGTAGGACTGGAATTTGTATACTTATTGTAATTAACATGTTTCGAATCAGATAACACGCAATAAGTTTCAATATTTTTTGCGCAAAATGAAATAAAAAATAAAAAGAGGCTATTAAAACATGTGGTTGAATAAATCAGAACAAAAGTATAAAAATTTCGTTATCCTCTGTACGGTTCGTAACCGACAGATTGCGTGTGCAAAAACAATGATCGACATTTTGTTACCCAAAGACCTATTATGGAAAAGCGCGTTAAGCATCGAACAATAAAAGTATTCGCGACCTCCCCCGAAATATCGAGTCCGATTTGAGCTCTCTGTTGCTGTGCGGGTGTAAACATCGGAATTTGCCGGGTGGTTGCGGGCACGCGTCCCTGAAACACCCAGTCGATCGGTGCCAAGGTGTCCGACGGGTTACTAATTGCGTGTTAAAATTTACTTGACATCGCTCAACCTTCGTCGATGTCCAATACACCGAGAACTGCCTTAC